CCTCCCCGGAGAGCTGACGGGGGACCGTTCGTGCGGGTTCACTAGCTGGGCGGTTGAGTGAGGTGCTTAAACGGTAGGAGGCGACGCTCCCTCGTCGTGGGCTGGGTGTCGGGCCGGCCGGTCCTCCCGCTCCTCGTCAGGCCCTGCCCTTCCCCGCCTCTCGTCTGAGCCGCCACCACCGCCCGGCGCCGCCAACTCCCGCTTGGTGTCCAAAACAAAATGGCCGCCGGGCCCACCAGGGCAGCGTGACCGGCTAAAATGGCGCCGGCGGACTTGCGTCAGTGCGCGCGCAGCGAGGGGCGTGGCGAACGGGTGCCGCGGCTGGCTCAGGAGTCGCCGGGGACTCTGCAGGGGCCGTGGCAAAGGTCCCGTCGCTTAGGTGTGGTGCTCCGCCCACTGGGGGCGTGGCCGTTGGCCTTGATGGCTTGGATACCTCCTAGACTGCCTGCTGGAAGAGTTAACGCTCCGCTTTAAAGGGGGTTGGTTTCCGGGTTGCAAAGAGCGGTATAGGTCTGATTGGAAGCAATGTTTGTATTCTGTTATTCCTCCATCCCTAAGCTAAAGACAACTCTTAAAAAGACTATTTTTTTTTTTTTTTTTAGGATGGGCGGTGGTGGCGCACGCCTTTAATCCCAGCCCTTGGGAGGCAGAGGCAGGTGGATCTCTGTGAGTTCGGGGCCAGCCTGGTCGACAGAGCGAGATCCAGGACAGCCAGGACTGTTACACAGAGAAACCCTGTCTTGAAACACGCCCCCTCCAAAGTCTTTATTAGGACCTCAGAGCATGGGGTGATTTGCTCTGGCCCTCCTCTTTCTCATCCCTATTTGTGGTGTGTATTTTTTTTGTTTTTGTTTTTGTTTTTGGTTCTTTGAAACAGATTCTCTGTGTTGACCAGGCTGCCTTCGAACTCAAAAAAGATCCACCTGCCTCTGCCTCCCAAGTGCTGGGACTAAAGGTGTGCGCCACCGCCGAATGGCATTTTTTTTGTTTGTTTTTTTGTTTTTCGAGACTTTGTGTAACCTTGGCCTGGAATTTGCTCTGTAAACCAGGCTGGCCTCGAACTAACAGAGATCTTCTTGCCTCTGCCTCCCTAGTGCTGGGATTATTGGCATGCACCACCACGCCCAGCTCTTCCATGTCTTTTTATGTGGGCTGCCACTAGAAGATGTGGCTAATTTTAGGATGGGTCTCCTCACCTTGAGTAATCCAATAAAGTGTATCTGTCACAGGTGTGCCCAGTCCCTTGGGTTTTAGTGGATTCCAGATGTAGTCTGGTTGACAACTCGGATTAGCCATTACACAGGATGTCTCACTATGGAGCCCTAGGTGGCCTTGAACTCTCAGAGATCCTTCTGCCTCTGCTGCTGCCTCTACCTGAGAGGGCTGGGATTAAAGGGTACTTCACCAGGCCTAGTTAGTGCCACCGCCCCTCCCCCCCAGCGCTGTGCTGGGTGTTGAACCTGTTGAGCTAAATATCCACCCCACCCCCCAGTGTTTAGAACTGTAAATGGCTATAAAGCCTGACTTTGATGTGTTTTCCTTTCTTCTTTCACTCGTTTTTTGTTTTGTTTTCCCCCAACCCCCACCCCAGTCAGGGGTTCTCTGTGTAGCCCTGGCTGTCCTGAAGCTCACTCTGTAGACCTGGCTGGCCTTGAACTTGCAGAGATCCACCTGCTTCTGCCTCCTGAGTGCTGGGATTAAAGGCATGTGCCACCACCACCCACCTTTTCTTCAGTTTCTTGATTGCTTGTTTGTTTTTGTTTTTGGACGCAGGATCTGGCTATGTAGTATGGGCTGGCTTGGAACTCAAAATCTTCCTGTCTCATTTTTCAAAGGCCAGGATTACCAATTACTTATACAAGTCCCTGAGGAGCCAATGACACTTTAATTTCAGCTAAAACTATGGACCCCTACATTTTTGGGACTTGAATGTTCCTTAAATAAGATGTAGTGCACATAAACTCTCCAAAATAAGGAGTGTTGGGAGTGAGCACCCTTTACTTCACAGATATCCAGACCCAGAGCAGGTAGACATGGACGACAGTTGGTGAGGGAGGCCTTTATTAGAGTGAGTGGCAGGTCTAGATAGACTACCACTCTTGTGCCCTTGGTGGGGGACTGGGCAAGGATGGGGACATGGGGAGGTGTAGGTGGGGTGAAGAGAAAGCAGGATATAGGGGAGGTCTGACAAGGCTGAGGAAGGGCACTGCCCATGCGGCCATGTGCTCAACTGTTCTCCCAGAAGAAATTGTTACAAGCCACCGTGAGAGCCGCCACCAGCACGACGTACTCCTGGAAGTCCACCTCCCCATCTCCGTTTTCATCCAGTTCCTTCATTACCTTGTCCACAGCATCTGCATCCTTCTGGACCTGTGGAAGGAGGAGATGGAAATCGATACCACTAAGTTAGAGCCTACACAGTGGTTGAGGCAGAAATGAGCAAGTGAGAATAATAGTTATGGGAGTCTTTGGCAGCACGAGAGACTGGTGAGCTCCTGGTGTCTGCAGAACCCAGCGGAGTTGATACTGACACCAGTTGTCAACCATGATTGTCTACAATGTGACAGGTGCTACATTAGGAACCTTACAGGCTCTGTTTTAGTAAAAAACACACACAAAATGATTTTAGGGCACGGTGGCAGATGCCTTTAACCCCAGCACTCAATGGGGAAAGAAGCAGGTAGATCTATTTGAGTGCAGGGCCAGCCTGGTCTACATAGCAAGTTCCATGTCAGTTGAGGCTACATAGTGAGACCCTGTCTCAAAAAAACAAAAAAACAAAAAAACAAAAACAAAAACAAAAAACCCAAACAAACCAAAAAAAACCACACCAACCCCCCCTCCCCCCCCAGCTTTTGCCACTTGACCCAGGCTAGCCTGGAACCTGAGGTTTTCCTGGGTCTGCCTTGTTAGTACCAGAATTACAGGTGTGTGCCACCAAGCCTGTCTTTAACAGGAATGCAAATAATGTGGGAGGCTTTTCCACCGCTTCCATGATAGAGAAGAAACAAACTGACAGTTGGGGTAGAAACAAAAGTTACGTAGCAACAAAATAGCAGGGCCAGAGCGTCAGGGAAGCCCAAGAAAGCTGGGGTTGGTATGTGGTCCCTGCCAGCACCTGTCTCTCTGCATCCTCCAGTCAAAGGAAGCTTCCGAGCAAACTTTCCATCCTTCCTCCCATGCTTTTCGTGTGGGCACCTCCTGCCATGTCTTAATTTACCTACAATCTTCCAGTGGAAATCTGTGGCTCAAGTGCCACCTCAGTAGAGAAGCCATGTGACTTCAGAGTACTAATCTCCACAGTTC